TTTCGATCGTACATGACCCTCGCCCACCTTGCCCGACGGAGTAGTGGCCCCGCCGCGCGCCAACACTATTGCGGCTCACCCTTCATCTATGCCCTCCGACAATCCGTCTTCGAGAACGGAGTACCGAGCTAGGGTTTGGGCGTGCCGCGCGAGCGCCCGCTCCCATCTCCCTGATTTCCTCGTCTCTGCTCGACAGGCAACAAACCGATCGAGTGGTCTCCTGATTTTCTCGAGTTTGTTGTAGCCCACGATAGGATAGGGTGCATGACCCCCTCCCTCCTGGTTGTTCTAATAAAAGCCCAATAGACAACAAAATGACCACGCTGGCCGAGTTATAGAGCAGTTTTCCTGTTTGCAGCGTATCTTCACGAGTTTTCAGCGTATACGAGCAAGTTTTGCAATTCTTGCGGCTTCCGGAGCTCGCGGACGTTTTGAAAAGTGGTGGCGTCGAGCCCGGGCACGTGCCCAGGGTGCCCGGACGGTAAAATTGCCCCTGCACACATGTGCATCCAATATGCATGCACCAGGCTTCGTCATCTATGACTTTGAGTACCGCTATATGCGCCCCTTCCAGATGGAAGAAAACTAGGATCCGACTCCGGCTCCACGATCAGGCCAACTGCCCGGGCAAAGCAGAATATCCTTCCAGTAGCAACACAAAGAAGGACTATCCGTCTACACACAACCACCACCCGTCCGAGGACCAACCCGGCTAGTCGGTCGACCTCTGGACACCAAGCCTGTGACCTCAACAAGATCTGAGGATTCGCCATCCCGCTTGCTCCTAGACAAACGCAAGAGCTCAGCCTGACCACGAACGACGCTCTAGGAAACTTATTCAGACGCGTCGCCGCCGCAACGACGTCGATAGTGACTCTCGCAACCCTAACCCTACTGAGAACCCACCTGATGCACAGATCCGACGTTCCCCCTCCCTCCCACCACCGGAGCGGCCGATGGAGGGAGAGGGAACCTGCTGCGGCGCCAGCAGCTCGCAAAGGAAAGCAGTGGTCGCCTCCTTTCTGCCTCGCTACGATCCGCTCTTTTCGGAGGTAGTTGGTTCGTCAGGGCAGGTAATAGAAGGCCTTGGGTGTGTTCCTGTTCATCGAATTTGATTCTTTGGAACTTGTTCAAGCTTTCAACGAAATTATCCAATTTTGGAGCCCATACTTAGCAATTCTTGCAGATTATCTCGATTCTTTGGAACTTGTTTAAGCTTTCAACGGAATTATCCAGGTTTGGAATTATCCAGGTTTGGAGACCATACTCATCAATTCTTGCATATTGCGTCGATTCTTTGAAAGTTGTTCAAGCTTTCACCGGAATTACCCAAGTTTGGAGCCCATACATACTCATCAATTCTTGCCATTGTTGAGGAAATATTGCCATTGTTGAGGAAATCGTTAACTGGTAACTGCTCGGTTGGCTGGCGAGTAGGGGGTTAATAGGCTAATCGGCAAGTTAATCGGCCATTTAATCAATTAATCGGACGATTTATCAGTTTATCGGCTACTCGGTGACCTTATGAGTAGAGATTAATCGGCAAGTTAACTGGTTAATCGGATGAATTCTTGAACAGGGATTCTTGCAGATTGTTTTCAGCTAGCATAAGCCCATACTCAGTGGTTCTTCCAGATTGTTTTCAGATAGCATACAACATTGGCAAAATATCATTGCACCACTGCAATCTGGAGGCTATTGTATGGCGCACAATTTAGATAGACATATATCTTTTTTGAACTCTTCTATATTTTGGGACAATGACCCCCTAGTTTTATCGTTCCGGATGTAAACGATCTATCTGTATTTAAGTTGCAATAAAGTGCGACATGAAGGCTTTCCCTTAAAAAAAGCAGAATCATTCTTTTTCACATGTAAATGGCTACATTAGCTGCCCTATGAACAAAACTGAACTGAAAACCAGTAAACCTGCTACTGCTGAGGTCCTCAACTTCCTTCAGGACTGTGCAACTTCCCATATGTCATCACCATCATTGCTCCATAAGTCCAAAGGGACACGGGCATCACTCTCAAGCATTACCTCGGTCATTTTTACATCAACCTCTATCTGAACACCACATCGCAAAGACATTGGCAGCAGTCTTCAGTCTTCCATTTCCATCCGTCATCAGACACCCTGTAGTAGCCTCATAGCCAACTTGTTGAAAACTAGCATCAACATTGATTTTCACATAGTCCGCATCAAGAGGCTTCCACACTACACAAGTACACTAATCTTCTCTGTGTCTTATATATTCTCGACTCCGGCGACCTGTATCTGTTATTTTCCTGAATTTATGAGCGGCATAACTCCAGTGAATAGACACAAAGTTAGTAGGTGATGCATTCCCGTCTTGTTATTCTCTTGTTCTCACAAGGGTTTATCATCTTGTGAAGTTTTAGGTCCAGATTCAGAGCGCAGCTCATGAAACAAAACAGCAAATTCAGTTGCGATAGTTTTATCCACAACCTGGTTTGAATTAACTACTATCCATACTATGTTTTGTAACTTCTTTCCTATCAAGCTAGGGTTTTAAATGGCATCTGAATTTCCATGATATGACAAAAAATCACAACCATGTCTAAAGAAACAGATTTCCAGAGTGAGGCCACAAGATAGTCTTCTATGCCTACAGGGATGCACTCAGTCAAAGCACGGAAAGAAAAACACATATATTTCTAGTATTATGTCACTTTAATTGAAATCCCTTTAAAATTCAACAGTATTGAAAAGCTAAAGTAAAGGAATATTCCGAAGCGGTTGCACTCAATGCACAAAGCAATAGTGTAAACTAATTGTGCAAATGGATCCGTACGAAAATAATTCTATAGGCTGCAAAACCCCGCAAATAAAAAAAAGGTTCATCCATATAGAAAAAATTAATAGATTTCTTCGGACAGAGAGACAGGAGCAGGACCGACAATAGGTACAAGGCTTTCTTTCTAGATCAGCAAGGGTCGAGCTGTAGCCAATACAGGAAAGGAAATAACAGAAGTTCGTGAGATTACATAGTGAAGTGCATATACAGAAGTAAAAGCAATCAGATCAGCTACAGAGTTATAGCCTCATGAGAAGTACTCCCTCCGTCCCATGGTTGTTGCCCTCTTATAAATACATAAAAGAATACCAACAGTCTGATCAAAAGAACACTTTACAGCAGTGTATAATATCAACAAAAACTTAACATGATTTGTATTAACTGGCGTTTACTTTTCCTTCAAAATATAGCACCTTAAGATCAAGCTAGAGCCTGAAGTGTCCACATACCTGTCATGTTGTGATGGCGAATACTTTGATCTCATAAGGTCACACCCACGCATTTTTCTTTGTTCAGCCCAGTCATCTCCACTCTCCAGTCTCCACCACGCAACCCAGTCTAAGCAAGTTTTTCGTTGCTGTCAAAGTAAAAAAGGAGTCCAGAATAAGACTGTTGATGCTACACAGTTTTCCACCGGTTTGTATGGTTGTCATGAACTCTTTGACTTTTGGCTCCACCGTGCCCTTTACTGCTATGACCAGGCCATTGAGGCTTGAGCATTTATATCTGCAGTATCTGCATCTTCAGGTTTGCCATCCACTTCAGTTCATCATGCATCTCCTCATAGATTTCACCTTGCTCCTCTTCCTGTGCACCCAAGCAAATTCTGCCGCGACGGACGCCATCTTGGCCGGCCAAGCACTTACTGTCAACGACAAGCTCGTCTCCAAAAATGGCAGGTACGCGCTTGGTTTCTTCAGCACAAGCAGCAGCAAACCCTCCCAAGACACCACCAACTGGTACCTTGGCATATGGTTCAATACAGTCCCCAAGTTTACTTCTGCATGGGTCGCAAATAGGGATACACCAATCAAGAGCACCACCGCACTAGAGCTCACAATCTCCCATGATGGCAACCTTGTCATCTTAAAGCGGTCCACCAAGTCTATAATCTGGAGCACACAAGCAAACATAACAAGAAATAGCACCACTGCTATGCTTTTGAGTAGTGGAAATCTCATCCTGACTGACTCTCCAAACTCAGCAGAGGTTCTGTGGCAGAGCTTTGATCACCCCACAGATACACTTTTCCCTGGGGCAAAGCTTGGATGGGATAAGGTCACTGGCCTGAACCGTAAGCTCGTCTCTTGGAAGAACTTGATTGACCCAGCTACCGGTGTGTACTGTCATAGGTTAGACCCCAGTGGTGTCAATCAGTTATTGCTTACACCATTGAACTCCTCCATACCATATTGGTCGAGCGGTGTATGGAACGGCAAATACTTTCTCTCAATAGCAGAGATGACAAGCAGCAACCAAGTATCGAACACAACATTTGTCCACAACGACCAAGAGAAGTACACGGTATTTAACTTAGTCGATGAATCTTTGGTTACTCATTTTGCAGTTGACGTCTCAGGTCGATTAAAACAATCCATTTGGTTGGAGAGTTCACAGGATTGGACAATGATCTATGCCCAACCAAAACTTCAGTGTGATGTCTATGCAATCTGTGGACCTTTCACAATTTGCAATGATAATGAGCTTCCATATTGCAATTGTATGGAGGGCTTCACCATAACATCCCCCGAGGATTGGGAGCTAGAAGATCGAACCAGTGGCTGCTCAAGAATTACTCCGTTAGAATGCATTAGCAATAAAAGCACAAGTCATACCACAGACAAGTTCTACTCTGTGCCATATGTTGAGTTGCTGCAGAATGCCCCAAAAGTCGAAGCTGCTGCAAGCCCGAATGAGTGCGCTCAAATTTGCCTGAATAATTGCTCTTGCACCGCATATTCCTTCAATGATGAAAAATGTTCTATCTGGCATAATGAATTGCTCAACATAAGAGCACTACAATGTAGTGGTACTACATGTTCAACCGGAGAAACTCTTAATCTTCGTGTTTCTGCTAAAGATTTCCACAGATTGACAAACAACAGAAAGGGGATTGTTATTGGAGTTGCAACTGGTGCAGGCATTTCTGCTCTAGGTTTATGTGCACTTTTTCTCCTGGTAATGATTTGGAGAAACAGAAGTAAGAGCTCTAGCCATACACTGGATGGTGTTCAAGGTTGTAACAGAATCATTGCATTTAGATACACTGATTTACAGCGCGCCACAGCAAAATTCAAAGATAAGTTGGGGGCAGGCAGTTTTGGTTCTGTATTTAAGGGTTTTTTAAATGACTCAGTAGCTATAGCAGTGAAAAGGCTTGACGGTGCTTATCAAGGAGAGAAGCAATTCAGAGCTGAAGTGAGCTCAATTGGAGCTATCCAGCACATCAATTTAGTTAAGCTTGTCGGTTTCTGTTGTGAGGGTTCCAAGAGGTTGCTTGTTTATGAACACATGTCAAATCGCTCTCTTGATGTCCATTTATTTCGAAACAATTCGACGATATTGAGTTGGACTATTAGATATCAGATAGCCATAGGGGTTGCTCGAGGTTTAGCCTACTTGCATGAGGGATGTCGAGACTGCATCATGCACTGTGATATTAAGCCAGAAAACATACTTCTCGATGATTCATTCATTCCCAAAGTTGCAGACTTTGGGATGGCAAAGCTTTTGGGAAGGGAATTCAGCCGAGTACTGACTACAATGAGAGGAACTGCAGGGTACCTTGCACCTGAATGGATCAGTGGTGTTGCTGTTACACCAAAAGTCGATGTGTATAGCTATGGGATGATGTTGCTGGAAATTATATCCGGAAAAAGGAACTCAAGTGCATCATGTTCTAGTGGTGGCAATTTTGATGTTTATTTCCCTGTTCATGCCGCACACAAGCTTCTTGAAGGAGATCTTGGGAGTTTGGTAGATCAAATGCTACATGGTGATGTCAATCTGGATGAGGCTGAACTGGCTTGCAAGGTTGCATGTTGGTGCATCCAAGACAATGAGCTTGATAGACCAACAATGGGACAGGTAGTTCAGATTCTTCAAGGACTAGTTGAGATCAGGATGCCCCCGATACCAAGACACCTCGAAGCCATGGCTTAAAGCTCAAATTCAATGTGCTCCTAATCCTTTTGTTTAAGGGAATCTAGATGGATTGCATGTTTAAGAGGTCATGACACAGATGTTTATATTTTAAAATTACAGTTATATTTGCGAATTGTTAGAATGGCAAAGTTCTGTAGGAGTGTGTTGAGTACGGGTGTGTTCACGATGATGTCCTCTCCTGCGTGAGGGACTTGCTCAATTCAACATGCTCCTAATCCTTTTGTTTAAAAGGAATCTACATGGACTGCATATGAGAGATATTATGATATATATATATATATATATATATATATATATATATATATATATATATCTGAAATCATAGATATATTTGCGCATTGTTAAGATTATCAGGTTTCACAATGTAAGAGTGTAAATTTCTGTAAGAGTGTGTTGAGTATGTGTGTCGAATTATATAAACAGGTTAAAAAAGAGTAAATTACACTTTTTACCCCTATGTTTCATGACAGATTTTACCCATTTTTTGAAAAAAAATCTCAATTTATAGAACCCCGATTGATGCACTTTGTAGTTCCATCCTTCTGGGTGATAGCAAGCTAGGCTCAGCGAAGAGGTTGCAGAAATACTCACCTGAGCACGCGAGACGGCGAAGATCTCAATCTCCGATGCGGGGACCTGGAAAATTAAATGAGGAGAGAATTAGATTGAGTCGAATGTGGCACACTGTGACACGACTAGAAATGGGCGAGGCTCACCGGCGGGGGGACGACGGACGAGGCGAGTCGGCAGGTGCTCGTCTGCGGGCGCTGGGCCGGAGCGTCCGTGCAGGCGGCGGCTCGGGTAGATGGGGCAGAGGGGTCGAGCGCGACGGCGCGGGGAGAACTGAAGGAGGCTGCTTGATTTTGAGAAAGAAGCTGACAACTGAAGAAACGGGCAGCTTTCTCAACAGCTAGCTGAAGAACAACAGTGCAGAATATGTAAAACCCAATTGCTTGAATCCAGGTCTTTGATATCTCAGGTTTTATATCCAAACCTGAGCCAAAAGTGTTAGCAGTTTAATTAGGATTACATTAACCACTTGTTCCTTATAAACGGGAATTACATGTGAAACCGTAAAAATCAACACATAGCCCACACTCTGAAGTAGTAACTGAACAAGCGTTCGACTGGTGAATGAAGAATCCAGGTTCCTCACAAGGAGGGTGCAGGCTCTCATCCCGCTGTGCTGCTGACCAGGGCAGGGCGTCGCAGCTTTAAAATGTTCTACTCCCTCCGATCCGTATTAATTGTCGCTGATTTAGTACATTATATTTTTACATTGCTATCTTGACCATATGCCATTTTAGTTCTACATATACGATCTTCTCGTGTGAGCCGGAAAATTTTGTAGCCTTCCAAAAGAGAGAAATTATATACGACTTTGATTGATGTGATATCATAAACTGTATTATGTACTTATAAGGCAGCTTAAGAAAAGAGCACCCCAAGTGTGACATGCCTTTGTTGGTCATACCTTGATGTGAGCCGGCAACCAATTGCCTGGAGCTCATGCTCTCATTCACTCCTCTGCTCTGCACCACACAAACCCAGTCCACAACAAGACCAGACTGCCCTGCCGTGGTAGCATGCACTAGATCATCACCACATGATAGTATTCGTTCAGCTAATTTGGCTGCTGTGCTTGACTGTTGACTCCACGGTGCTTATCTACTGCCATCACCACTGAGCACCCAACTTAATTACATCTGTGGTCTCTTCTGCAGCTGCAAGCTCGCCCTCCTCTTTAGAACACCATGCCTTTCCTCCCCATTGTTTTCACCTTGCTCTTCTTCCTACGCGCCCCAGCAAGTTCTGCCGCGACGGACACCATCTTCGCCGGCCAAGCACTTGGTGTCAACGACAACCTCGTCTCCAAGAATGGCAGGTACGCGCTTGGCTTCTTCAACACAAGCAGCAGCAAACCCTCCCAAGACACCACCAACTGGTACCTTGGCATATGGTTCAATACAGTCCCCAAATTTACTTCTGCATGGGTTGCAAATAGGGATACACCAATCAAGAACACCACCTCACTGGAGCTCACAATCTCCCACGATGGGAATCTGGTCATCTTAAACCGGTCCACCAAGTCCATAATCTGGTCTACACAAGCAAACATCACAAGAAATAGCACTACTGCCATGCTGCTGAGTAGTGGAAATTTCATCCTAGTAGACTCTTCAAACTCATCAGAGGTTCTATGGCAGAGTTTTGATCACCCCACAAATACACTTTTCCCTGGGGCGAAGCTTGGATGGGACAAGCTCACTGGCCTAAACCGTCGTCTAATTTCTTGGAAGAACTTGAACGACCCAACTACTGGTGTGTATTGTGATGGGTTAGACCCCAGTGGTCTCAATCAGTTCTTGCTTACACAATTGAACTTCTCCATACCATATTGGTCGACCGGTGTATGGAACGGCAAATACTTTGCCTCACTTCCAGAGATGACAGCCAGCAACCCAGTTTTCACTGCAACATTTGTCAGCAATGACCAAGAGAAGTATTCGACTGTTAATGTAGTCGATGAATCTATGGTTACTCGTAATGTAATTGACGTCTCAGGTCAAAGAAAAGCGTTCATTTTGTTGGAGGGCTCACAGGATTGGACAATGATCTATGCCCAACCGAAACTTCAGTGTGATGTCTATGCAATCTGTGGACCTTTCACAATTTGCAATGATAATGCCCTTCCACATTGCAATTGCATGGAGGGCTTCACCATAACCTCCCCAAAGGATTGGGAGCAAGAAGATTGAACCAGTGGGTGCTTGAGAAATACTCCGTTAGACTGCATTAGCAACAAAAGCACAACTCATACCACAGATAAGTTCTACCCTGTGCCATGTGTTCAGTTGCCCCAGAAAGCCCTAAAAGTAGAAGCTGTGGCAAGTGCGAGTGAGTGCGGACAAGTTTGCCTGAGCAACTGCTCTTGCACTGCATATTCCTTCAGTGACGAAAAATGTTCTATGTGGCGTAATGAATTGCTCAACATAAGAGCACTACAATGTAGTGGCACTACCAATTCAACAGGGGAAACTCTTTACCTTCGTGTTTCAGCTAATGATTTCCACAGACTGAGAAACAACAGAAAGGGGATTGTTATTGGAGTGGCAACTGGTACAGGCGTTTCTGTTCTATGTTTATTTGCACTCATTCTCCTGGTAATGATTCTGAGAAACAAAAGTAAGAGGTCTAGTCATATACTGGATGATGTTCAAGGTTGTAACAGAATCACTGCATTTAGATACACTGATTTACAGCGTGCCACAACAAAATTCACCGATAAGTTAGGGGCAGGCAGTTTTGGTTCTGTATTCAAGGGGGTTTTAACTGACTCGACTGCCGTAGCAGTGAAAAGGCTTGATGGTGCTTATCAAGGAGAGAAGCAATTCAGAGCTGAAGTGAGCTCGATTGGAGCTGTCCGGCACATCAATTTAGTTAAGCTTGTTGGTTTCTGTTGTGAGGGTTCTAAGAGGTTGCTTGTTTACGAACACATGCCAAATCGCTCACTTGATGTGCATCTATTTAGAAACAACTCTACAACGCTGAATTGGTTTGTCAGGTATCACATAGCCCTGGGAGTTGCGAGAGGGTTAGCTTACTTGCATGAGAGCTGTCGAGACTGCATCATACACTGTGATATCAAGCCAGAAAACATACTTCTTGATGCTTCATTCATTCCAAAAGTTGCAGACTTTGGGATGGCAAAGCTCTTAGGAAGAATGTTTAGCCGAGTCTTGACTACAATGAGAGGAACTGCAGGGTACCTTGCACCTGAATGGATTACTGGAGTTGCTATTACACCAAAAGTCGATGTTTATAGCTACGGGATGGTGCTGCTGGAAATTATATCTGGAAAGAGGAACTCATGCGCACCATGTACTAGCGGTGGCAACCTTGATGTTTATTTCCCTCTGTATGCTGCACATAAGCTTCTTGAAGGAGAAGTCGGGTGTTTGGTAGATGAAATGTTACATGGTGATGTTAATCTGGACGAGGCTGAACTGGCTTGCAAGGTTGCATGTTGGTGTATCCAAGATGATGAGTTTGATCGACCAACAATGGGAGAGGTAGTTCGGATTCTCGAAGGGCAAATTGAAATCGGGATGCCCCCGATACCAAGACTGCTTCAAGCTATGGCTGGGAACTCGGATATAGCATGATCCTAATCCTTTTGTGTAAGGTGTTATAGTACATTTGTCTACATTACAAAATTTAGATGTTATATTTGTTACTGTTCAAATGTAGTGCCTACCGCTGGAGACGCAGTTGTATTTCATAAAATAAAATTGTAAAGTTTGAATGTACTCTGTACTATTATACTTTCATGTATGGATCCATATCGAAATAGGTGCCATAGATATTTCGGGTTTTTTTTCTTCCGATTGAAAATTTCTCAATTTTAAGATCCAATGTCAAAGCTTATTTAAACCTTATTTTTGTAACTAGCATTGTGTGGTATGCGGACATCATCTTCATATATAATGGTAGCTATGCTGCCATCGGGAAAGCTCAGCCATACTGGCATGCTACTGCCAAAATAACGTGTGCAGTTAAATGGTCCAACAGCCTATAGTTAGCAGAAACTAGCAAACCGAAACGCCGAGGCATATGCAGGCGTCGAATTCGACGGCAGCAGCAATCCTTTTCTATACTAGCAAACTAAGATGCACAAAAATGGCAACAGGGTCAATGACAGGGAGTACAACTGTACAAGAGTTCGAGCGAAAAGGTTGCTCCAAAACTTACCAGAGCACGAGAAACATACGGTAGCGGCAGATTGCGCCGGACGTGACGAAGACGGCGACGATGCCGATCACCGGTGAGAGGTCCTGGAAAAATCAAATGTGAGAAAAGAAAATTATATGTAGGCTGATGGCGCACTGTGACGCTAATTGAATCGCCAGGCGCTCGACCGCGGGAGATGGGTCCGAGGCAGCACCATGCCCGCGTGCAGGCGGACAGATCACGCTGGAGGGCGAGAGGAAGCCCTTTCATACTCGGGCGCGTGTAGATCCGGTAGATCGGGGTCGAGCGCCGGGGAGGGGAGGCGGCCGGGGTGGAGGCACTGGGTGGGACGCGTGGGAGGCTAGGTAGGTCGATGCGACGAGGAACGGAGGAGGGCTACCATCGCGCCGTGATGTTGGTGATTGGCGAGAGCGGCTCTGCTTCGCTGGCGCGGGCAACAGAGAAGGCGAAGCCCGAGGTTGCGGATAGATCTGACGAGCGGGCCCCCGGTGGCAGCGGCGTTGACTCGGCCTCATTAGTTAATAAACTACCTAAAACCTAAGGCCTCTTTTGGTTCATAGGATAGGATTATCATAGGAATAGGAATCTTGTAGGAAATGAGATGACATGTATCTCAAATCCTATGAGTAGGAATAGGAAACAAGATGTCATTTGGTTGACACCAAAGAAATTTTTCCATTGAGTCTAGGCTCTTTTTTATTTTCCTATGAAATGTGGAGGATAGGAACCAATCCTATGTAGGAATAGAAATCCATTCCTATGAACCAAAGGGCTCTAAAGGAAAAAATCCTATAAGAATCCTATCCTCTAGAATTCTTATGAAATTCCTCTAAACCAAAGGAGGCCTAAAAAGTGTGCGCGCACTAACTAACCGAACCGGGCGGCCGCTTCCTGGCCGCACAATCGAGCCAGCGATCGCGCCCGGGTGCGCCAGGCGCCACCTGATCTGGATTGGCCTCGCGCCGCGGGCGTGGGCGGTTTGTCCATATCCAGACATGGGGAGGCCCACATGTAAGCCGTGGAGGAGGGAGGAGAGGGGGTCGTGGGCGACGGTTTCGAAATCTGTGCCTGAAATCCCTCGCCCGCAACTGTGCTCTCTCCCTATTCCATCTTCGTCTTCGTCCTTGCCAGCCTCTCCACCGAACGGGCGCGATACGGGGGAGTCGCAGTAGAGTCTGTATTTACAAGAAAAAGTGAGTGGGAGCTCTGTAGCATTTTCGATATTATATGTGGATGACATATTGTTGATTGGAAATAATATAAAATTTCTAGATAGCATAAAAGGATAGTTGAATAAGAATTTTTTAATGAAAGATCTCGGTGAAGCTGCTTACATATTAGGCATCAAGATCAATAGAGATAGATCAAGACGCTTGATAAGATTTCAATGAGTACATACCTTGACAAGATTTTGAAAAAGTTCAGAATGGGTCAGTCAAAGAAAGAGTTCTTGCCTGTGTAACAAGGTGTGAAGTTGAGTAAGACTTAAAACCTGACCACGGTAGAATATGAAGAAAGAATGAAAGTCATTTCCTATGCCTCAGCCATTGCTAAACAGTAAAACGGAGCTACTCACGCCCCTCCACAGCGTTTTGAACTCGTCGGCCGTTGGATCCTTATACGTACGCTCCAGATCTACAGATCGCTGAACCTCCCCCACGCATTGCTTTTTTTACCACGTCACAGGCGCAACCAGCTCACCCAACCGTAACCGGGCCGCTGCTCCGCAGGCCGACCTGGACGGTTGCTCCTTAATCGGGCCGAATGGGAAAAGCGTAAACAGGCCCAGACAAGTGGGTACACGAGGCCATCCATGTTTTCCGTCTCTCTTGATTTTCTTCATACAATGGATGCGGTCATCTTCATCCTGGCGGCGGCTGCGCCGGTGGAATAATGGCGAGGCAGCTCGGCTGTCCCCTTTCTGTTAGTTCTGCTCGGCGTGGAGCTGCGGTACTACTCTTTTCACTTGGTTCCTCTATATATGTGTTAGGGTTCCATATCAAAAGAAGAAGTGTTAGGGTTCCATGTTGTTTTCCTTTGATTTCCTTGGCCGCCATTTATTTATCTTTCCTGATTTCCTCAGTCTGGATAGGAACACTTCCTGGGCGGGTTCCAGTTGGGATGGCAGCGGTGTTCTTGTTATTAGATAGTTTCTTTTTACCTCTGTTTCATTGATGGAAAGGTGAGTTCAGTTTTAAATCCCGTGTGAGAAGATCCTTATGAGGATGGCCAAGAACGAGTACTAAAATTACGAATATTCATAGCTATGTGATTTTAGAATTCATGTTTGGATTCATAGAAATATTATGTGATTTTTCTAATCACATGTTTGCATGAAATTGTCCAAGTGATCATGGATATGATTCCAGTTGTGTGAGATTTATGCCTCATTTGGACCATCTTGGAATTAATTTTTGCGTTGATCAAGTGATGCCGATGTTTTATCCTTTACGGGACTCTCATAAATGTGAACCAAGGTTTGTTTCCATCGCTATTTTTAAGGATTTTTTTGAAGTATCTACGTATTACTCCAGAAAGTATTTATACACACAATTGATTTGTGCAAGTGTTTGTCCCTTTGTTGAGAGTATATATGCACAACTAATTCCTAATAATAGATGTTTGTGTTGCTGAGCAAAGTATTGCTGAAAGTACTATATTACGTGGAGCTTTCTTTTTTGCAGATTGCGAACCACTCATGCCAAGCGGTATATTACGTGGAGTTACAGGATGAGTTCCCATGTCTTGGCAATCTTCTTCTTTTCTGCAAGATTTAGGGTTTAATTTTGTTAAGAAAACATGAGTGAAGTGTAGATTGCTTGATCCATTGTTTTTTAAGCTTTTGAGCGTCAATGCCGTTTTAGACAAACACTGTAGGACACTGGTGAAGTTGAAATTGGTGGTGATTAGTTCGTTAATGAGGGCCATGTAGATACCTGCAGTACTTAACAAAATGTTGCTTTTGTGTTTGGAGCTAATAATGCCATTAACGTTCTCTGACCAAATTTGAAGGCAAGCATGATGTGATGATTTGGAGCTAAGAATGTATGTTATACTCGCTTCGTCTCAAAATAAGTGTAGGTGATTTAGTATAACTTCAGTACAAAGTTGTACTAAATCACCTGCACTTATTTTGGGACGGAGGGCGTAGTTCATATATCATAGTGGATGATTTTCTTCACTTTAATTTCCAATACCATGGGCCCATGGTCATCAAATTTTCTTAACCTTTTGAGTGCTACAGCATAGCAGGTACCGACTCCGGCACTAGATTGAAGAGGAAGACGAAATAAATGGTAGCCATGACATTTCTTTTTGGCAACGACCTTGATCTACATGGTGTGCTAGGTTTTGGTTTGTTTAGTTATTTGATGAAATAATATGCTAGATAAGTATGCCTCGTGAATTTATGAGAGGTTGTAATTTTGAGCTGAACGAGTTGTCCATGATTCCACATCTGTACCTAATCTTACCTTTACCTCTCCAGATGTCCAGATCCTCTCTATGCTCAAATTAGGGTTACCACGGCAGAATAAATCCATATCACGACATTCGGACCTGACTTCCGTTGTGTGGCTGATGCAGTGTGAAGATTAATGTTGTGCTTATATGAGGCGCCAATTAACTCAAAATTTGTTTTTAGTTGATCTATTTTGTTTACTAGCCGGCGGCCCAAATATCAACATTCTGCTTAATAGAATTCAGCTTAGTTGTCCATCTGTGTCGCCTTTGGTATTGTGATTTGTCATGGTCTTACTGCACGAGTGAGGTGCACTGTTAACAACCATTGCTTGCTTGTAAGAACTCGAATTCAAACTGCTATCTTGGAAACATGTATCCCCTATATCTCTAAGATGATTGTTCTCCATCCGGTTTATTTCTAAATAATTTAATTATTTGTGGTCAATGTTGGGCGGGCGCGGCAAAGTGCGCCATCATGTTCTAGTAGGTTCTATAAAGTATGTCATGATGTGTATCAGACCTGTTGTGTGCCTTGTCATGAGTTTGGTAAGGGGGTACAATATGTTGGTGAACGCAATATTTCAAAAAAAAAATCCTACGATCACGCAAGATCTATCTAGGGGGATGCATAGTAACGAGAGGGAAGAGTGTGTCTACGTACCCTCGTAGACCGAAAGCGGAAGCGTTAAGTAATGCGGTTGATGTAGTCGAACGTCTTCGCGATCCAACCGATCAAGTACCGAACGCACGACATCTTCGTGATCTGCACATGTTCTGCTCGGTGATGTCCCTCGAACTCTAGATCCAGCTGAGGCCGAGGGAGAGTTTCTTCAGCACGACAGCGTGTTGACAGTGATGATGAAGTTACCGACGCAGGGTTCGCCTAAGCTCTACGACAATATGACCGAGGTGGAAATCTATGGAGAGGAGCACCGCACACGGCTAAGAGATCAACTTGTGTGTCTATGGGGTGCCCCCTTCCCCGTATATAAAGGAGTAGAGGAGGGGAGGGCCGACCTCTCTATGTCGCGCCCAAGAGGGTGATTCCTGCTCCTAGTAGGAGTAGGTTTTCCCCTTCCCTAGTTGAAGTAGGAGAAGAAGGAAGAGGAAGAGGGAGAGAAGGAAAGGGGGCCCGGCCCCCTCCCAATTCGGATTGGGCTTGGGGGCGCGCGCCTCCCACTTGGCTGCCTCCTCCTCTCCCCCACCATGGCCCATTAAGGCCCATTAACTTTCCGGGGGGTTCCGGTAACCCCCACGGGTATTTCGGAAAAATGCACAAACCTATTCGAAACATTTCTGATGTCTAAACATGGCCTTTCAATATATCAATCTTTATGTCTCTACCATTTCAAGAATCCTCGTCATGTCCGTGATCACATCCGGGACTCCGAACTATCTTCAGTACATCAAATCACATAACTAATAATACATATCATCATTGAACGTTAAGCGTGCGGACCCTACGGGTTCGAGAACTATGTAGACATGCCCGAGACTCATCTCTGGTCAATAACCAATAGTGGAACCTGGATGCTCATATTGGTCCCTACATATTCTACGAAGATCTTTATCGGTCAAAGCGCATAACAACATATGTTTGTTCCCTTTGTCATCGGTATGTTACTTGCCCGAGATTCGATCATCTGTATCATCATACCTAGTTCAATCTCGTTACCTGCAAGTCTCTTTACTCGTTCCGTAATGCAACATCCCGCAACTAACTCATTAGTCACATTGCTTGCAAGGCTTATAGTGATGTGCATTACCGAGAGGGCCCAGAGATACCTCTCCGACAATCGGAGTGACAAATCCTAATCTTGATCTATGCCAACTCAACAAACACCATCGGAGACACTTGTAGAGCATCTTCATAATCACTCAGTTACGTTGTGACGTTTGATAGCACACTAAGTGTTCCTCCGGTATTCGGGAGTTGCATAATCTCATAGTCATAGGAACATGTATAAGTTATGGAGAAAGCAATAGCAATAAACTAAACGATCATAGTGCTAAGCTAACGGATGGGTCAAGTCAATCACATCATTCTCTAATGATGTGACCCCGTTCATCAAATAACAACTCATATCTATGGCTAGGAAACTTAACCATCTTTGTTTAACGAGCTAGTCAAGTAGAGGCATACTAGTGACACTCTGTTTGTCTATGTATTCACACATGTACTAAGTTTCCGGTTAATACAATTCTAGCATGAATAATAAAAATTTATCATGATATAAGGAAATATAAATAACAACTTTATTATTGCCTCTAGGGCATATTTCCTCCAGTCTCCCATTTGCACTAGAGTCAATAATCTAGATTACATTGTAATGATTCTAACACCCATGGAGTCTTAGTGTTGATCATGTTTTGCTCGTGAGAGAGGCTTAGTCAACGGGTCTGCAACATTCAGATTCGTATGTATCTTGCAAATCTCTATGTCTCCCTCCTTGACTTGATCGCGGATGGAATTGAAGCATCTTTTGATGTTCTTGGTTCTCTTGTGAAATCTGGATTTCTTTGCCAAGGCAATTGCTTCCAGATTTTCATTGGACCCGATGCACTAGGTATGACACCTAGATCGGATATGAACTCCTTCATCCAGACTCCTTCATTTGCTGCTTCCGAAGCAGCTATGTATTCCGCTTCACACGTAGATCCCGCCACAACGCTTTGCTTAGAATTGCACCAACTAACAGCTCCACCATTCAATAAAAATACGTATCCGGTTTGTGACTTAGAGTCATCTGGATTAGTGTCAAAGCTTGCATCGACGTAACCGTTTACGACGAGCTCTTTGTCACCTCCATAAACGAGAAACATATCCTTAGTCCTTTTCAGGTATTCCAGGATATTCTTGACCGCTGTCCAGTGATCCACTCCTAGGTTACTTTGGTACGGCCCTGCTAAACTAATAGCAAGGTACACATCAGGTCTAGTACACAGCATTGCATACATGATAGAACCTATGGCTGAAGCATAGGGAATGACTTTCATTTTTCTCTCTATCTTCTGCAGTGGTCGGGCATTGAGTCTGACTCAACTTCACACCTTGTTACACATGCAAGAACCCTTTCTTTTCTTGATCCATTGAACTTCTTCAAAACTTTATCAAGGTATGTGCTTTGTGAAAGTCCAATTAAGCATCTTAATCTATCTCTATAGATCTTGATGCCCAATATATAAGTAGCTTCACCATGGTCTTTCATTGAAAAATTCTTATTCAAGTATCCTTTATGCTATTCAGAAATTTAGTATCATTTCCAATCAAAAATATGTCATCCACATATAATATCAGAAATGTTACAGAGCTCCCACTCACTTTCTTGTAAATACAGGCTTCTCCAAAAGTC